GGATTATATTGGATTTATATAGGGATTATAGGGGATATACCTGGGTGGCCTCTATGAGCTTAATGATATAGGGGTAATATAATAGTATAGGGGTAATATAGGGATTATATTGGGAGAATGGAAAAGAACATGGAAACTTTTAAAGTATATTGTTTAGTGGGCAGCGACAGTTTGCTTTCCTGGGGGCTGTGCAGGGGCCGGCTGCCTTGTTAGGCCGAAGAAGAGTAGGCCCCTCAGTCCCAATACATCCCTTGAAAGCGCCTGTGACTCAGACATACACGGTCCGGTCTTCGACAAATGGCATCGCGCTGGGTTCGGGATGTCAGCTTGACATTGTATGCTAGGTATCCTCTGAATAACAGACGACGACCTGCTTGGGGGAGCCCCAGCAGTCTGCTTGATTGGGCATCCATGCCTCCCGTAGCGCGCGCCGATCAGTTGCACTGCTACATGTAGCACTGATTGCAAGGCCTCGCTGCTACCATAAAATCAGCTGCGCTGTAAATTTGTAAATGACGTACTTTGCCTGGGGCACGCGCGTTTCGATGTAGGGGCGAGGATTGTTGTTTTGGGGTTCTGGCAGAAAGCTTGGCTTCGAACGCAGGGTTGATGGCCAAGCTGTTTACTAGAACATTCGGGCACCACACGTCTAATTAGTCCTCTACAAAGATTCAGGGTTCAAGGCTTATTTGGGATGGAGCGATCATATATCAATTATATCAGTAGTTCTGCCTGTATTGGACCAACCAGGAATATCATCCGTTTATGAACTCGCAAAGCTCTTGTATTGTGTATCCCGAACGCTGTTCTTCATGTGGAGTGCTTTACATTGACGGACCATCGGCCTTCTGATCGGCATTTTGTGGACATGAGGATTTCAGGCATGAGGACTTCAGGAGCGGAACGTAGACTTCAGTTCACAAATATATTGATTTGGGAGTTTCGGAAGTTCCTACTAAGAGTTCAGGCAGAGTTCTGGGTTCCCTTACAAATCGTTAGCTGCAGTACGCTATACTTCTCACACACCTCCAAGATCAATCTTTGCTTCAAGCCCCCTTGGGCCCTTTCTACCGAAACCGGAGACTTTCTCAACACATGCAAAGTACAAACTACCAGGTTTCTTTACATCGCAGGGTCCCTATTCTAAGAAGACACCACCTCAAGGGGATTCGCACAAGAACTCTGCCCTCAACGGACACTTTGGGGCACAGATGGATTGTACGGGGTCCCCTGTAAGTAGCACGCATAGGATGATCTTGAGATAGAGGTACCAGACTCTATGAGCCATAGTCTAAGCTTTTTAAAGGGGGTTATATAGGGGACTATATAGGGGACTATTATGGGGCTTATTATTATTAAGTGGGGATACTAGGAGACTATCCCTTGAGGTGGTTATATAGGGGGCTATTATAGGGCTTATTAAGTGGGGATACTAGGAGACTACAGCGTAAATATCAATCCGGAGACATGATGCCAGGAGGTGCCTGTGGATGCGGGCGAGCCGGTCGCAGCTACCTGCTGAGCGTTCCACAAAGTCAGGGAGGTAAGGAGGTTAGGGTTTTTGCCTTTCTTCTTATTGTTTTTATTCCTGTGCTTTTATTCTTTTTCTTACGATCCAGCATAAATGTTGTTGGTGATTACGTTTATTCATAGAATAATGGTAAAAGTATTGCTATTAAGATGCTGGGTTTCACCAGGGTCTTCAGGGCTGAGCTTCCAAATACCATGGGTACCCTCCACAAACAACATGGAAGCCGGTGTAGTCCCTTTTGAAAAGGGGAGCAGTCTTTAAGGGACTCTGTTTTTCTCTGGCAAAATTGGGATTGGTCTTGTTAGGGAACCCTTCCATCATGTGGGCAGCTCCAGAACTCAATTCTTTTGACCTATAACCGAAGCCCCTGCCTCCAATAGATGTTTCCCATATATACTGTAGTCTAAACTCCCTAAAGGGGGTTATTTAGGGGTTATATAGGGGACGACCATAAGGGTTATTAAGCGGGATACTAGGAGTTTAGACAGTAGCTCATATATACATATACATCAAGAGGTTATGGGAAGGTCTTTAAGGCATGCCAGGAATCTATCAGGCAGCTTTCGCACACTAGGGCATCTTATGCTTAGAGGGATTCTTGCAAGCAAAATGCTGATGGTCATCATCGCCCTAGTATGCAAGACATGGACAGAGGTAGGGCTGATCAAAGGGAAGTTTCTGAAGCCTGAACATCTGTGTAGGGGTTTGCTGGTTTGGGGATGATATAGAGTTGTGCAGTCCAGAGATGGGGCTTGTTTCCCTCCACCCGGTACTCGGAAGGAAACCTCCGCGGCTTTAAGCGGCATGCTGGACCCCACAAAAATTTCTGTCAAACTTGAGTAGGAGAGCCGCAACACCAGAAGCCCAACGCCATGAAGCCTACGTTTAAAGACAAACTCACAGGAGCTGTTGTTACTACTAGGGCTACCCGGGACTATTGATTGCTGAGGTGGACATCGGGATCGGTTTGGTAACCTTGTGTAGTCCCTGAGGAGTATATGCTTTCATCAGGATTCCAAGACTGGTCCCTGCGTTTCGCTTCCCATTGCGCAGCCGGTAGGTTGTTTTGTTTCCCAATTCGGACGACAGTAATTCAGACGAACTCATACGTGAAATGCTGTCCTCTTGATCTGCAGATCTTGCCATGTAATTTCCATAGTCTTCAAAACACCTCCACCGCCCGTTCTGCCGTTCTGGCTCATCATACCTCCAGGGATTCATGCCTTGCTGGGGGACAGGCAGGGAGTCGGCGGGAAGTTGGGCGAGATTGTAGTTCTACGCTGTCTCGAAGCCAGGCCACAATAACCAAGGACACACCTATATGACATAATCCCTATAGTAGTTTTCATGTTCTTATATTACCCCTATAACCCTAATATATTAAACTGCCGGGCGTCACGAAGTGCATTCTCTACAGGTCGTGCTGTTTAGGGTTTAGTGTTAAGGGCATGGAATAGCCTGAGCAATGTGTTTCTTCTTGCATCAGGCAGAGTACAACGCGGCGGAGCAGCACAAACCATGACATTCATTCAGGTTTTGGTTCAATAAAGGGTGACCGGTTGATTTAGCAGGGCAAGGACTTGTTCATCACCAGCTTATTGTGGCTTTTCCTCCTCCATGAATGTGAACATACAGCCCAAAACGCCAAATCCTAAACCCATGAAGCCTTCATGATTGAGATCAATGGTGGGAAGGGAGCCCTCGCAGGTTCTGCAAACGAGGAGGGCATGGCTGTTAATCGGGACGCCTGATGCAAGCTGCAGACAGACTTGTAGGCTGAACAGCGTGCAATCCTTACAACTCCGATTTGTTCCTTGCTTTCGGGCGAGCTCCGTTTCGAAACTGCACGGTATTGTTGCTGGAGAGAACCCGGAGATTACGCAAATCTAAAGCGCCTAAGTTCTAAGTACTTTCTCATAAGGCCTCAGCACAAAAAAGACAGATACTCTATCACCATGATTTGTGAGATTCATCTTGCAAGTCATAGGCTCCACATCGTCCAGGGGACTTTGGCCAAGCGAGACACATTGAGAGGCATTATAGGGATATACAGAGGTAATGAAAGATCAAATGAATAAGAACATGGAAAAAGGAATAGAAACTGAGATTGTCCTCATATACCGAATGTATACGACGTGATTATACGCATTATCTTCCCTGTGCCCCAGGCACCTACCCTAAGGGTCCAAGGACCCAAATAATAGGGTTTTAGGGCCCAAATACCAATAATATTACAGTATTTGGGCCCTAAAACCGTCCTTGGACCCTTAGGGCTAGATTACACGCCGGAGCTCCTAAACCCAAAAGTCCATGGCTTAAACGTGACCCCAACCCGTAAGCCTTTTAACTTACACTGGAGTCCGGTGTAGGGTAACATAGGAGCCATGGCTACAGAAGCTTGAACAAGGGTGCCCCAATAATCCCTTTGTAATCCACATAGGAGTACGTAGCGGTTTCTTTGGGGGATGTTATAGTCCCCAATGTTAGAGGAATATGTAGCCTTACTTCGCTCAACCACCTAATCATGCTACCCATCTATGCCAAGGGCCCTGTTAGCCTCGCAGGTGCACTGCTTCCAGCGGATTCGTGAAATCTACGAAGCCATGGGGAGCGGAGCGTGCCTCGTCTTGGTTGTTTAAATGAAGGTTTCCGCAAATGGGGTTGCAGAATAGACGGGTCGAGGCCCCTGATAGTTGTAGAGCAGAGCACGCAAGACGGCGCCCCTTCTTTCAACCAATTTAAATAGCTTAACGGGACTGAGCTCGTATCTACTCAGGCTCCGCGTGATCTCTATAGGAACCCCGCCAGGTTAGGGGTTCAGCGTATATGTGCTTTCTCAAAAATCATCCCAACACAATCCAGACCAGGGACCCCCAGAAATCCGTTACACTTCCCAATACATCCATGGAGTCCCTCAGTATACCCCTTGAATGAGGACTCCCAGTGGTACAGGATCCCCCGACTCCCCCCCCTCTCAACAACCCTCATGGAAGTACGATGTAGCAGATTACAACAGGAGAGCGGACACATGAATCATTGCGGGGCTGGGGGGGGCAACGCTAAACCCTAAACCCTAAACCCACCCTAAACCCTAATAGGGTTCTTCGGAGAGGAGATGATTTGGTTGCTCCTTCAAGCTGGTAGCAGTTTGCCTGGTCTCAAGCTTGACACCTTGAAGCTGCCCTCTGCTAGCTACATGGGTTTAGGGTTTAGGGTTAAGGCTTTAGGGCTCAGGGAACAGGGAACCAACTCAAAGGAATCCCTATGAAGCTCGGCCGGGATCATTAATGCAAAAATATCCATCTCTCCACTTTCTTGCACCTGGCGGAGTTTGGTACATTGGGACTATACGGACTTTCATTCCTACCAACAGACCCTAGGGATTCCTGTAGAAGCCTAAAGAACTACAAGTAGGAATCCTTATAGGCTACGCCAACTAGACCTCAGATGTTTATTGTAGCCTTGCGAGATCGCAATCGGCGCTGGAGAAGGCTTCGCCTGCAGATGTGAAGGAGGCCTTTGGGCTTCGGGCCCTGGGTCCCTGTAAGGTTTAGGGTTCAGAGTCTTGGGTTGAAAGTCTAGGATTGATGGTTTGAGGTTCAGGGGTTGGGGTTAATGTTGAAATCTCTTCAAGCTTGGGCCCTTACAGTTGGGGGCAGAAGAATTCAAGGCATCCCGCAGTTCTGATTTCTCTGCGGATTAATTGAAGGGGATGGTCTGGATTCTTCCAAACCCCTAAAGCCAAACACATCTCAGAGATCCTTGAAGCGGCCGCCGAAGCGCATTCCAGAGGGCTGCTTCATTAAAGGAGATCCAACAAGGGGTCTCGGATTGAGGTGTGAGGCTCAGAGGCAGGTTCATTTGAGCAAGGACCTCAGCCCAAATGGTTGTGCATCTAGCTGGTTGCTCCAACCGGCGATTGAATGATTGGATCTGGGCAGAAGCTCGGCCTAGGCAGCAGCTTACACAGTAGGGGCCTGAGCTGTAGGTCATATGAGATCAATGGAGGGAAGGAGCAGAAACCCCGTGGCTGTGCCGCCCCTGCTATGCGAAGCAATCCCACTCCTGTGAAATCCTTTCCTATGGGGGCCATCTGAGAAAAGCGCCCCAAATTTGTGCAAGCCCACATTGTTGAAGCATGGAACACTAGCTGTTTAGCGGACCGGTCGTCTGAGCCGCTACCTGCAGTGTACTATCCTTCCCCTTGTCCCAGGTACTTGTAAGCCACCCAGTGGGCACCCAATGCCATTCAGGGCTTAGGGTGGAAGTTTAGGCTTCAGTAACGATTTGAGGTTTAGCCTAGGGGGAAGACCACCCCAATATAAAGCTGCCGGGAGGTTTGAGTTGTCGTCACTCAGCCAGGCTCCGTTACTAATCCTACTGCTTTGGGGTTTAGGGTTTAGGGGTGCAGAGGAATCTGTAGAGCTGGCCGAGGAACATGGGGCCTCCAGATCTGACCCCGTCGCTGAATCAATTTTAGGTTTGAGGGTTTAGGAGGTATAGGGGCTCGAACCACACGCCGGCTCTTCCTGGAGCCCCGTATCTTCACGCAGCGTTACACTCCTGTTTTGTAACATGCTTGCCACGCTCTTTTCCTGAGAGGCTCTTAGCGCCCTGAACGCCGAAGAGCAGAAAAAGCTGGCGGCTTGCCCACAAGCTCTGTTTGGTGTGGAGCCTCCGTGTTGCAGGATATGAGTAGCTTGCTGCTCAAAAGCTTGGCCATGCAGGTTGTCATAGTTGCTTACTATTTCGCCCACAATTTGCTGCACGGGTTGGGGTGGGTTTGAACGTGTAGCAATTACATGCGTGGTGGGTATGATGCCTTCTTTCCGAGGGTTCTCATGGCCTGCTCGTTCTCAAATGGCCCAGGGCTCATGGACCCAAAGCCTTACTATGGACGTACTGGACCCTGCACTGAAGGCGCAATAATCGCCTCGGGCACCCCGAATTCTAGGAATCGAAAGGACGATGAACCCTAGGCCCCCATCCTTACACATCTAGCCTGGAGCCCTGTAAAGCCTCAGAAATAGGTGATCGAATTAGGCCCATACTCGGTTGGCTGCATGTTACCTTTCTTGCCTGGCCGGCTCCCACCCCAGTCTGCCTGAACCCCAAATCTCAAAGGCTTTACAGCTTGCGGATGCCAAGAAGAAACGTTCAAGTATAGGGGATATATAGGGCTATAGTGGTTTTAGAGGCGTTATTTGTGGAATCAAAACTTCGCATCTATGGGTTCGGAGTTGCGCTTAACCTCCATCAAAGAGGCCTCAGTCAAAGATCCGGTAAATCCTGAGTGACGAACTCCAATCAACCTGATGTCAACGTGTTACCCTGAAACCATCCAGAAGTGCCCACGCGCCCAATAATTCATTCAGTTTCCGAGAAAGTCATATTACAAACTACAAACAATAATGGTGCATCATAAGCCCTAAGCCCTGAACCCTAATCCATGTACTGAAGAGTACCTGAATGGCCTGGAATTAGAGAGCAGCAGTTAAGGGCGATGCCCTTGCAAAGCTGGACGCGAAGGCCGAGAATGTCGAGTCCTAGGATTTGAGGTTTAAGAATAGGAGGCATAGGGTAATGGATTCAGGATTCAGGAGTTCAGATGTGGGATTTAGAGTTTAGGGGTTTGGGTCCAGACATCATGCAGGGTTGAGTGCTTGGGGACTACGGTTGATGGTTGATGACTTCGAACGTTATCATTTTCTTTGGTCGTAGTCATCTTATTCGAAGAACCCGGAAAGTCTGCTCAGATATATAAGGCTTGTGGATTTTAGCTTGTGCTTGGAAATTGACGTGCGTGGGACCCTATGCGGAGACGGGTTTTGGAGGCTTTGTGGTTGAAAGTCGGAAGTCATAACAGTTCATCATCCTTCTCATAGCAAAACTAGCCACGCCGCAGATATGAATTTTCTGAATGTGCCTTCTAGGGTTTGGGGTCCTACGGGGTGTAGGGCCCAGCGTTTGGAGTTCGAGTTCGGGGTCTAGGGTTTGGTGTAAACCCGAGGGACAGTCCCAATTACCAATACCTACTGACGCTAAATCACGTAGAAACAGTCTATCTAAGGGTGCACCTATCCGAATTTGGTGGTTGCAGGTGTCCAAAAGTCGTTGCGATAAGTCCAGAGAATCCCTAACCCAAGATAAATCTGCAAAATATAAAAGTACCATGACACAGCAGTGGAAAACGGCTTACATGGGGATTACCATGACGGGAGGCGAATTGTTCGGTACTGAAGGGTAGAAAAGTTGGGTGCTTAGATCCCTACTTGCACGATTCTTGGCCGAAAGCTCATGATACAAGGGCTCACATAAGCCTCAAGTGGAGCGAAGTGTTTTGCCCGTTTGGGGTTCAAGGCCTTTGAGATTTATGCTTGCAATGCTTCGACTAATCACAAGCCACACGCTCCTAATCCTGAAGCCTAAGTCGAACACCTGGTTTTTACGTCCGAGAAGCCTGAACCTTGCAGGAATGCCACAGGTTGCAACAGAGAAGACACTGCACATACGGCGCACAATAAACTCTATCTTGTCAAACAATCAGCTGCAGTTGTGAATTTGAGAAGTGATAAGGCCCGAAATGGTCCAGCGCTATGTACCAACCTGTGATTATCATAAATGCATCCACGAAGCTACCGTGCTACATCTTGCTACCCAAGTCTTTGTCGTGTATGGCTGCGCGTATACTTGGACCACTTTCTGTGCGACATGTAGCAGAAGTCCTACATAGCCACTGAAGCATAAGTCCTACATATCCACTGCAACTTGAAGCCTCTTGACTGCATGCATCTTAAGCTAGAAGGTGTTTCTTCAAGTATGCGAACTAAGGGGCCTGTAGATGAGAGACCACAGAGATATATGGAAACCACGGTAGGAGTATGAGGTCCGCATGAGAGATCATAACAAGACTATTCTAAGAAGCCCATATGGCGAGATCAAGGGTCTGAGCCAGCAGACTAGGTGGACAGAGGTCTGAAGGTCAAGAAGATATCGGTGGGTTAACACTCCCGCGATTTTGACCCATTTGCGGGGTAGATCCGAAGAAATTATTTGCTTTAGATCTGGATTGGCGAAGGCCATCATACATGGTCCAAACTCCCATCAGCCGTAGTAGCCGTAGTTGTGGGACGTATCCCCAATGCAGATCCTCTATAAGAAAGGGTCATATAAATGATTGTGTCTAAGCTGAGGGACCATAGCCAATGACAAAGGTAGGCGGGCTTGAGTGGTTGCTTCTTCGACAGATTCTTTCAGAGAATGGCAGATACTACTTCTAAACCCAACGGATATCAAGGGTCCCCGGGATAGCCGCATTCTGAGAAAACCGCACAAGCAGCTTCGTCCTCAAGACCCATGTCGTAGGAGGAACCAACCAATCTTGAAAAACTCTACGTGCATCACCGCTCTAATGCACAAAACACCATACCCTGTCAAATACTACACCCACGAAAGGGTCCGCAGTGTTTGAAAGCCTCATCCAAAGCAAATTCTTTTTTGGCTAGGCCGAAGCGCCTGCGCCGGCTGAAAAGAAGGAAGATTTCGGGTTCACAGGGATTAATTCGGGCTGGTGGCTTTTCCTTACAGTTCAAGGCCTTTGCTTTAGGGTATTAACGTGTAGAGCTTTGGATCCAAAACTTTCGGTCTAGAGCTTTGAGAGCTCTGGGTTTCGAGGTTTCGTGTTGCTCAGGGCGTCAACTTCATATTTCAGTCTCGGGGGGGTTAAGGAGTACAGTAAGGTTTTTCATAGACATTGGCAGGTTCAAGGTGGGGTCGGTGATCCTAAAGCGTAGACCCTCGGCATGGGGGTCCAGGGTTCAAGGCGATAAGCCTCACCTTGCCTGTGAATTTGCTTGGGCGGGTTCTAGCTGGCAACAGCCCTTTGAGGGTTCAGGGCTCAGGGTACCAATCAACATTGTAGGACACCCCGAAAGGGAACTGCATGGGAGGAATCAGAACAACAAGCATGGTCACGTTGGACAAAGAGCATCCAAGCATAACGACATGTCTCCCCATTTGCTTTGTGGCATCGTATGAAGTCATGAGATATTTGAGGTCCATCTTCTTGACATGCGGGTGCCTACGCTGGGTTGCTGTTAAGGAACTTAGATTAAGTTACTATATTAGGGAAGCCCTATTATTTACTATATATTCCCATTATGGTAACTTGATTTAAGTTCCTTAACAGCAACCCAGTACAGTGAGAGTGAGGTAGCAGGCTGCGATTTAGATCCCAGCGTCTGTGCAGAGGAGGAGCCTGCTCCAACTGAACAGAAGAAAGAGGAGGCCTGAGATCACTGGGACAGTGGGCTTAGGTGTGACTCCAATAACCTACAGTTTAGTAGTAAGTACCCCTTAATTAGTAGGTATAACCCATAGAACTGTAGGTTATTGGGGTTACAGGTAGGTGTCACGGTTGAAGCAGACATGGATGGGTTTTCGATGTATATCTTGTTGTTGCTGCGTTACTTCTGCCTTTCAAAATGTGCGTCAGCAGCGAAATCTTACACATTAAGCCCAAATCAAAGCCATAAGCATACGTCTTGACCCGGCAATCTTTCAGCCAATATCAAGTCTTTCACACCAGGAGATTTTGGGGTCTTGGATTTAGGTGCTAGATGAGTATGGGCTTAGGCCTCCGGGCGCTAAAAGTTTAGGCTTGAGGGGCGCTTGGGTCGACAGTTTGGCTTGTTGTTGAAAAGTTTTCGTGCTAGGGTTAAGGATTTGGAACTCTGAGGTTTATCGGACGGGGGGTGTCCTCCCTGGATGGTACTTACCGTTACTTACCTAAAGTGAAGATTCTTGAAACACCTGCGAGGATTTCTTTCTGAAGCAACCCTCATGAAGTTTCACGTTATTTTAGGGGAGGGCTTTGCGGTTTTGGTGACCGTGATTGACAGCTGGAACCTAAATGACAAGAGGAATCAGCAGGGCAGGGAGAGAGAGAGTGTCAGAGAGAGAGAGTGGGAGAGCCATCACCGGCCATGAGCCCAAATGCCAAAGAACGGCCGACATGTGGTGTTCCAATTGTTTCCTTTGGCGTGCTTTGAAGCTCTTAGGGGGCATGTTCACGTTACATACATACATACATACATACATACCTACGTACGTACGTACGTACGTACGTACGTACGTACAAACATACAAAAATGCCGACCTGTATACCTACATTCGAGCATGCATGCATGCACATACACATATGCATGTACATATACACATACGCATATCTACGCACATACTTTCGCGTGCATACCTCTGTATACATATATATATATATATATATATATGTATTTATGTGTGCGCAGATAGCGTATAGACTACTTTCATAATGTTCCCCAACATCAAGGGCCATTCTGGGAGTTACTCAGAATTACCTCTATATCAGACATAAGCGGCCCTCATGATCCCTTCATGAGCACACAGATCCCCCGGAATCCCAACAGCCGCGGTCAGGGTTTTCTGGTTTAGGGTCGAGAGACGTCCATATTTCATATCAGTGCAAGAACTTGATTCATGTGTTTCATGTGTGTTGCCTATGTGAGTAGGAGCACTTGGAATGGGTAGTTTCTCAAAACAGGCGTGCTTTAGTGACCTTCCAGGAGGATGACATAGGTCCGAACCAAGGGCAGGACATTTTTGATGGCCAAGCACCTCTATTAGCCAGGAACCTAGAGGAGCTGATGGTTGTGAAAGGTTTAGCATCCAAAAGCCAAGCCTTCCACTTGCAAGTTGCCCTCCTTTCCAGTAATGGATGGCACGACTTCCCAACTGAATTTTGTCTACCCGAATGCACAACTGCCGTAAACCATTGGCCAAGATTGTGAAAATGCACTTTGTGAAGTTGCGTGGCCCTGTTGAATCTCTCTACAACAGATATCCCTGCCGCAAGTGTTGTGGCGCATTTAGTCTGTGCCCAAACTGTGTCCTCTACACGCCACCGCTCCTGTAGGGATACATGTGAGAATACGCAACCGCAGATTTAAGCCCTTAGAAGCCGCTCCTGACACGGCAAATATTGTTGGCACGTACACATGCGGCCCTGAGCGATTCCTGCAGGCCCCCAAAGTGGAGATGTCGGCAGATCAGAAGGCGTTCTGAACTCTCCCTCTCTCCCTCTCTTGGCACTCGATGTAGAAGGTCTCGTGTGCATTCCGCGGAATGTCAAGGGATTCTGTAGGGATATCTTGTAGATCGTCGTGCATGCAATGTAATAAGGGCTCCAACAGCTATTCAACTGTTTAGTATATGGGGGTTTGGATAAGGTGGGGTGCACAGATATGGACACTAATGTTCTGTGATCTTTAGAACAACTACCCTCAAAATGGGACCTGTTGGAAGCCCCCACTTTGGTATCTGACTTCCAATTTGGGCATCATTGTCTGGAGGTTCTGGGTAGCAAGAACCCAATAGATAGATAGTACCCAAAGCGGGGATACGTAAAATGATCCATATGTACACCCGTTAGCAAGCCCATCGTTGCTATGCACTTGAGGTTTCTGAGTATAGCTAGGTAATGTCCCTAGCTTAGGTTACATTTATAAATCTAAGTACAGGCAGGGTTATAAGTCCTTCACCGAAGCTCGAGCAGACTGGCAATATCACCCCCTCCGTAGACATACCCATGAATCTCCAAGTACACTCGCTTCTTGCAATGGGGCCGCAAAGGCTAGACCCACGTGAAAGTTTCTCCATGCACCATGCATATACTCCTCTTGGCAAACCCCTAGCATCCCATGACACTACGCAGATTCCCTAAGGGTCCAAGGACCCAAATAATAGGGTTTTAGGGCCCAAATACCATTTACATTTTAGTATTTGGGCTCTAAAACCCTTTTATTTGGGTCCTTGGACCCTTAGGGATTGTTATTCTCAAAGTTGGGTTTCTTTTGAGTACCATTTCAGCACGGCACTCTCTACCTTGGGGTACAGACATGTGACCCGGATTTCTGCATGCCCGTGTATCCATGCTTTTGATACTGAAAAGCCCGAATGATCCTAGATATTCAAACTCCTGGCCCTACAAACCCTAAGTTCTACAAACCCTGAACGCTAGCAACCCAAAACAAAAAATTCTATGCATCCTACTGGAAACATTGTCATGTCGCATTTATCAGGCCCATTCTCGGTCGAAACTTCCGCCTTGGGGTTTGGCGTTCCTGCTTTCAGGCTTAGGGGCTATGCAGTAGTTTGTTTCTTGCTACTAAAGGTTCAATTCAAGGAATGGAAGATGGGTCATGTTGTGGATGATTATCGGACCGGATGATATACTTGGAGGGTCAGCGGGACTTCTTAGGTGTAATATTATAACCCCCCAAATCCATGAAGTAACACCGGTTATCCTCATCATTAACCTACTTAGTAAGTCTTCGCAACCCTAAGCCCTAAACACTCCCTACTTAATTAATAGGTGGGACCCTCCAAGTTGGGATTGTGGGAATCCCTTGCTTCAGTCTTTCTGACAAGAGGCAGGTCGACGGCTTTTGCCCATGCTTGCAAGCTTTCGACCCTAAAGCCTGAAATTCTGAAACCTAAGCCCTAAGCCCTAAACCGTAGAAGCTTAAAGCCTAAACCCTAGACAGCTTAAGCCTCAACCCTAAAACGCACACCCTGAAGCCCAAAATCGCCAAACTCTTAAGCCAAATAGTTAGACCTATAGTAATAGTAATAGTAATACTAACAGTAATAGTAACAGTAATAGTAATAGTATTAAATCATAGAACGACAGAGGCCAAGCTCAAAGAGTGCTTCGACGCTATCGACACAAATGGGAGCCTTGGGAGGGGAGCGTTTAGGGGTTTGGGGATTTCGGGTTTGGGGTTTAGGGTTTTGGGGGAGTTGCGGATTTTGGGATGGAAGGGCTTTTAGAATTCTAGTATTTTCGGGCGTAGGGCTTTAGTGTGTCGAGTTGCAGGGTTTCAGGGTTTTAGACTTTTAGGGTATTGGGCCTGTAAGTCAGGATAACGGCTGATATGTTTGTTAAGACATTGAATTCCTCATGGTTTAGGGTTTAGGGTTTAGGAGGCCTAAGGGACATGAACTGAACGCGGGCTCCTTTTCAGCTCATGGGGGTACCTACTTGGAGGGCCAGGGGCACTTAGCAAGTAAATTAGTAGCCCTATAACCCATATAGTAACCATAGTTATCCCCATTGCTAACCTACATACTCACTTCCCCTGACCCTCCAAGTAGAGCGTCCTGATGCTAAGTGGGGAGTGGGAGAAAGGGTTACAGCCAAAACCAAATGAAACAGGACAAGTGCTTAGCGAAAGTGGTGCTCAATTTCCAGTGCATGCCTTAACAACGAATATTGTGAATCTATAGAAGCCGCGAACCTTGCTTTAGGATGGCCATGGTTAAGAGGACTCCGGCCGTTTTGTGACGAGCGTATAACGTTCCACCACCCGGATGATACTTTACAAGCTGTGGACAACCACTATATCAAATGAGGGAATTCCTGAGCGTGCAAGATCTGCCTCTCAGAAGAACCGGCAGCAGCAAGGAATGGGACCATCGAGGCCTCCGAGTTCAAATCCGCGCCTTGGCATCCAATGAGTGGGATCACGATGCTGGTTCCGTGTGAACCCTGCATGCCGTAAGTTCTGATCTTGAAGCAAGTTATGACTTGTGATGTCTGCCTTTTGCAGTTGTTTGGCCGGATCAGAAGTCTTATGCCCTGAGCTTTTTTACATGTTTACACAGACAGAAACACAGAGATGGCCAGCAAAGACTGGCCTAGACTTGTGCAACTTCAACTTTCTGAGACGTGAATGATGCCCATGCCTCTTAGCTTCCTGCACAAAAAGACCCTTATAGACGGTACTCCCTTCATATATGTATAGCGCCCAATAGTGACTCCTGTATTCGGTTCCATACCCCCTAGATCTTTTCCATGTCTTCAACACCCGCTCTTTCCGCTGGTGAGCCTAGTGTGGAAGCCAGAACAATTTGCAAAAACAACTCCCTGACCTTGCCAAGAAACTTGTTGAGCGACATGTTTCCACAAATTCCCCTAAATGGCGATCCCAGGGCCCACTTAAGTATTTTGCCCACGAATATGACGTGCCCTTGTCAAGGCTCCCAAAGTCCCGGGTTGCAACGGTAAGAAAGTCAGCACTCTTCTGGGAATCTCCTTGAAAGGCCCCAGGAGAATCCATGGCCGGGGCATGACTGAGCAAAGCTTGCAGGGGTACGGCTGTACGTGCGAGCAAGGCCTGCTCTAAACCCTTAACTTAACCCTAAACCCCTGAGCCCCAAACCCCTGAACCCTTAGGACGGCAATTTGGTAGCCAGATCTTTTTTTGCCGTTTGCCACAAGTCAACCTGTCCTCTTTTCTTCTTTCCTTCAGCAAAATGCTTTTACATTCCGGGATCTACGTTCATGCCGCGCAGCGTAAACATGGCTTTGGGGACCCAAACGAGAACAATCTAGAAATTGGTTTTCTGGGCTGCGGTATTAGGGCCAGTCTTCCGGGGCAATGTATTGATTGTGGGGTGCGTGAGACATGGTAGTTTCCCTAAAGGGGGGACTCCAAAATACTATAATCCTCATTATGGGGACCCCCAAAAAGGTACCACCAATTTTGGGAAACCCCCACATAGGCCTCCAGTCAACTCTATGAACACTTCCTTCCATGCCTGGCCAATGGCCCAGTGTTTTTTTCTTTTGCGTCCTTGCCCTGCTACACATGGTGGTCTCCGAAAAAAAGCCTATTCTGATAGGCATCGCCGTTTTGCTCAACACTCATTTTCGGAGAGCTTTCATCATCATGAGGCTCATTCTGGACAAGATCTTGACATACTACACTTAGATGTTTAAGAAGACATGAGAGGCTTCAAGCAAACCCAGTATACCCGCTTCATATCCAGCTATCGCAGAAAAGGCAACCGCTGCCGAACTGCCGAAATAGCAAACAGCAGTGGACAAGTACTTCGAGCAAGGCTGTCTAGCTTTCCTACCTTATATAAACGGACTTACAGGCAGAACTTCCAACTACCTTATAAGGCCTGTCAAGCTTTAGACCTGTACCAGTTTTGTCTGAGCACCCTATCCTGAACGCTACAAACCCTAAACCCTACTAGAAATAGGTAATAATAACAGCTAGTAATAATGTTGACAAAAAAGCCCAACCAGACTAAATCCTGTACCCAAGCCCATGAGGTGATGCATAAGCTCGAAGTGCCGCTGAGCGACGAGCAGATCGAAACAGTGTTCAACTCGGCCGATCTCAACAAGGCCCAGGGCCGAACGTGGGTTTCGGGCTTAATATTATTAATATCAATATTATAAATATTAATAATAATATTAATATTCATAATGATATTGATAATATTAAGGCATTGCCAATGCCATGGCTCTAGATTCCGTCTGTAAACAGACCTCAAAATCATATTGGTGGTTGTTTAGGCGTCTGCAGTACACCCTGTAGATGGCAGAGGTTAGACACAAACCCTGCGCGAGTCCTACATGCATAGGGACTTGTAGGGTAGGGGCAGAGGTAAGTGTAGAGGCGAGGTACTGTAGGGGCGCGTGGTAGTGTACACGGGATGGGCTTGAACTACCCGTTGCAGTACATAACTCCACGAGGTCTCGAAGCCTGATCACTTGGCAGCAGCTACACTTTGAAGTCCCAGCAATCATGCGAAATTGAAACCCTGCGCCTAAGGAGGACGCAACTCATCCCGGGACTGTGTGGATGCCGCCTCTTGAGAGGTGTAAAGTCTACAACTACTTTCCTCGCCACAACAATGACCCCCCCCCACCCCACCCCAAAACTCAATGTTGTCATTAATCCTCGAATGGTATCATATTTACGTATTTTTTAGCGGTGCGTTTTTGTTTTAAATCAGGGGGAAGTAAACCTCAGTGCATGGCTACTCTAAGCCCCACTTTCCATTTAAGATTCCATTGTCTGCTGCAGTTGATTATTCATCACAAGGGCTGATTATTCGAGGGAGAGGAACTGAAGCCTAAACCCAGAGCCCATGACCCTGAACCCCCTGAACCCCAAACTCCCTAAACCCCTTACCCCTTGAACCCTAAACCCTAACCGCCTTAAACCCCAAACCAAATCCCCTTAACCCCTGAAATCCAACCTCCTTGAACCCTAAGACCCTTGAACCCTGAAACCCTAAACCCCAAATTCCTTAAACCCTAAACCCCAAACTCCTTAATCCCTAAATCCTGAATCGTGAAGCACTCTGCAGGACAATAAGCTCAGCTTCGATGAGTACGCCAAGCTTGTGAACATCGGGCTCAACCTTTGAGGCATAGTAGGATTGTAGGGGTTCAGTGAGTTTAGGGTTGAGTGGAGTTGGGGGTTGGGGAGTGTTTAGGGTTTAGTGTGGTTTGGGGGTAAGGGAGTTTGGGGTTTGGGGTTTTTTTGCTTGGAGTTGGATACCCTAGAGGCACATGTGGCGTGCCTGCGGTTTGACAAGGGTTCTTGCATGAGGACTTCCAACAATCAGGTTACCCTGTATACCCCAAAGGCACTGCAATGCTTATTGCAAGGATCCCAGAAGAAGGACAGAGCGACCCCAATGTTTTACCCGTTACACTTTCGGTCTAGACATGCCCCCTTCTATGATACACTTTCTTCCTCAGGGGCTCACTGCTTAGTACATGGCCCTTCGGTCTGCACTGTCATTCTCCCCCTGACGCCCCGCATGGATGTGCTGGACGACTCTGATGCCTCTGCAAGCCTTTCCTTGTTGGATGACGAGCCTGCAGCATCTCTCCACCCGCCGGACAGAGACCACCACAGAGTGGGGAGCTCTTTGCCAGTCTTCGCCAACCTGGCGCCCTTCACGGCTCGGTGAGGCAAATATCTAGGCATAAAGCCGCCATCCTCCCGGCCATACGTCCTGTGCAGTGCCTGCTGCTGGGCCTCCGGCGCATCCGCCGGGAGTATCAGATCCGAATCAATTAACTTGTGGCTTTCCCTAATTATTTCGTTCTTCGCTCCCAATCCTTCTCCCGGAGCCTGTGCAAGCCCCGCAGCCTGCCAGACTGCGTGCAGCTCGTCCTTGTGGTCGCCTCAACGAGCATTCGCTCACCACTCTCCTACTTGGACAGGGCGGAGCGCACCTGCGTGACTCTCCTGGGGGGATAGCTGCCCGGACTGGCAGGAATGTGTTGCCAGCTTATCCGCGCGTTGTGTGTGCCCACCGCCCAAGGCGCCACGCATCACCTGCTGCTGGTCATGTGGAGGTGCCTCCCTCCCCACTCACCACCCGTGTCGCTGGTGCCACTCGCATGGCCACATTGCCTGCCATTCCTGCAACCACACCCTCCACTACGGCGGACAGTGCCGTTGGAACTGCGGAGCGCACGCGGCCTATGCGTCAGATGCACCCTCTGCCCCGATTGCTGGTTGCACTGGGCTCGCAGCATTGCGGCTTGCCCTCGGCGCCGAGCAGTGCCTGTGGATGAAGGCCTGCTCATGCACCTTCCGCAAACAGCCGAGCAGTGCCAGGTTGGTGCGGGACAGAGTGCCTCGCTTGCACCATCGCTGCGCCTGAAACATGTGCGCCTGAAACATGTGCGCCGGTGGCTGCTGGCATCCATCTGCCCGCAGAATGGTACTACTCGCAGCCCTGGAACGGGAGCTAACTGCAAGAGTCGGTGTCCCCCGGCTCTGCCAATCCACAGCACCTTCTGCTCCGTGCTGCTCGTGCCCTCTGCTCGGAGGGCTGGGTCGTCTTTGACCAGGATGCCCTCGCGCCACTCCCGGTTTGAAAAAAAAAGAGCGCCGCTTTTGCTCTGCAGCTTCCTTTATATGACTCCATTCCGGGCCTCCGGCCCCTACCGCCCCTCTTCTGGCCCAAACCCCCTTTCGTCTATATTTGGGCCACTTGTTGCTGTTTTGTATCATTCATTGTAGCCTTACCCCCCCTGGAACTTCTCGCGGAGGGGGTCGATGACGTGTCTGGAGACTCTCTGAGATGCTGGGCGGGGAAGGGTGTGGGAGGCCGCGGGAGCCCCGCAGGTCGATTCCTTCCTTCTATTTTGGAAGCCCAATGCTCGGCCCAGAAGGAACTACAAAGAAAGCCGCAGGGACGTTTAGGGCCCTTAACCCTTAAACCCTAAACCCCTAAACCCCAATCAAACCCTACAAGGTTCAGGCTGTAGCGTTGCAGTGTTCCACGTGTCCTGGGTTTGTTCACAGGCTCGATTAAAGTGCCTTAAGATCTTAGAAGCTGCAGATGCATCATGACGGTTTAGGGTTTAGGGTTTTTGGCTGGCCGTTTTGTATAAAGACTTGGGGTTGTTGTCTTGAATGCATTGAGTTCAGGACGAGCCTAGTGGATTACATCAGGACTACCAATCAGAAGGATCCATTCTTTGCAGAGGCTACACACCAGGTAGATACAGCTGTAGTAAAGGGCGTGAGTTCTTTCTTCCTCCAAAGGCCAAAGGACCATGAACACGGACTACAGAACTGTCAAAAACCAGAGAATTTGGTAAAGACGTTGGCACGGGTATGCACGGGTATGACTGACTGATGCAATTTCAGCGCAGAGAGTAAACCCACCATAAGTAAGATTCCACATTGCCTCATTCCGTACGCAGCGCCAAAGTGTTCTGCAAGCAGGGGGGGCTGCTAACCCAGAAGGCCCAAGTCCCTGAATGGCATATATTTGGACCTGAACGCATCCTATGTAGGCACTCGGCAGGTCAAACAGGCTTGTTGGTTTTTGTACCCGTCTACATTTTACCATAACAACGTCTGGCCCTTCCAGAACTTTTGGGAAGCTGGCCACTCTAGGCCTCTAGGCGTTGCAATACATACTCTAGAAGGGATTTCTCAAACTTACAAGTGAGCTACTGTCAATGTTAGGGGTACAAAGGGTGGACATGCAGGTCCTTGTGACAGCTTGGTATAGTCCCTTATCAATTTTCCCTAGCAGGAACCCATGTCCATTGATTTCATGGGAAATATATTTACTATGGCTCAAGCGCTTCCTTCGCAGTCCCCAAAACAATCCAGAAACTGCGCGGTCTACGGGAGGCCCCAAGCTCTCAGGAAACCTGCATTCTAGGGGCCCCTCCTGAAAGCATGTCTCTGACAGGGACCGATTGCGTGCAACCGCCTTCAGAATGCCAGAAGTGGCTGTCTGAGGTGGGGCAAGTGCTGGGCACATAATGGCGCTTAGAGGTATAGTCCCCCTTAAGTAGATAAATATGGCTTTGGTAAGATCCCCATATACCCACATTCTATCTACTTAAGGGGGAAAATATGTGGGCGTAGGGTTTGGGGGTTGAAGCGGCTGAGGGCTTAGTGTTCAGGGCTAAGGGCTTAGCACGTGGGATTTCTGGCTTGGGGTAGAGGGTTCATTGTCCAGGCAAATTATGGTGGCCTGACCTGACCTCAATCCAAACAATTTGAATGGGGCCTTTGCTTACTGGTTCTTAGTGGGCTATATGGGAATATAGCATATCAGGATAACATTGGGATTATATCATGTTCCCTTATTCCCTACTGCCGTTCTCATGTGGCCAGAAGGAGGCAGGCTGCAAGTTGCCCAAAAGAACTAAATTCCTGAAGGGGCCCAAGTAGTGCTCTCCCTAAGAGTCCAAGTTCAAGGCCCCAAATAATGGGGCTTTAGGGCCCAAATACCACATCATCAATGGTATTTGGGCCCTAAAACCCTATTATTTGGGTCCTTGGACCCTTAGGGCTCTAAATCTCTGCGTTTATTATCGTTCGGGTCCCTAGGGCTACAGCATTTTCAGAACCCCAGTTGAGGACGTCTCACCTGGTGCTTTGTGAGCAGGAAGTGGCAGTCGGAGGTAGGAAAAGACAGGCATTAAACAAGAGGGATCAGGTAGGGCAAGTGTCACATCATATATGAAAGTATACGGGGAACTCTAGCATTAAGAAATGCAGGCAAGCCAGGTGGATAACCAAGTTTTCCCAACTATGCTCAATCAAGTTTTTTTGGGGATTACGCTGCTAGACCTCGCATGCCAAACAATCCTCATCCATCAGCCCTGGGCACTCAGTTCATGGCAACCCCTTCCCTTCCAGAGCATGCTTGTGCCAGGAGCCTCTTGCAATTTCTGATTTGCAGTGAGCTCACTGCAAGCAGACTCACCAGGTGCTGCGGTGCATGAGTATAGGAGTCTTGACATTGCATTGGCCCATGCGTCTCTCTCTCTCTCTCTCTCTCTCTCTCTCGTTTTTCTCTCTCACACATTCATCGCCATCGCCTTGGCATCTGGTCTATGTTATATCCAGGTCAAGATGTGATGTTCAACACTAGACTGCTGAGAAACCTGGAGCCCTCGTACTTGTCTTATCTCGAGTGTTGGATTAACAGCAAACAGGTCTGATACCTGGTTCCCGTGCCTACATAGATATCTTTCAGCGCTTAAGGTGTGAGATTACAAGAGCAACTTGAGATTGTGTTTCTCGAGTTCAGGGACTGGGAAATGCTCGGAGAGACCAGGGGATTCTTGCGGGTCCGTTTCCGGGGTTTTATAGGGAACTAAGTTGGGGCAGGCCCATCTGCCTCCTCTGCTTGCAGAATTGTTGCTCTGCACCTGATTGTGGCCTGGAGCCTGCCGAAGCCTGAACAGGGTTGAAACTGGGGATCTGTACCATTTTTCGGTGTATGGGCTTCCCTCTAAGACTGACAAAAAGCTTGTTTCTCCCCCAAGTCGGGCTATGTCAAGGTGTTTCCGTTTTTTTCTCCTGCTGCTTGTCATCCATGAGCCTGAGTTTCGTTCATAGTTCGCGTTTAGGGTGTAGGGTAGCCTTCCAAGGGCATGGAGTATTGCTGAGGGGACTGTCGTTTAAGCTCACGCCAGCGTCGGCCACCTTGGGTGAAGTAGAAATTTTGCAGTTTGGGACATCACGCGCTCGGACGCTGTTGTCGGGCTTGGAGGGCAGGGGGAACACAGGGGGGGGGGGGGGGA